ACTACATAAGATTACCGTTAAACAAGAAAGAAAGAAATGAGTTAATAACGTAATTTTGACCAGATTTTTTTTTCAATTTATTAATTGCAGATTACGTTCAGTATTCCTTTTGCACTAGCTTCCATATTTTCAACCAATTCCGGTGCCGGCCAAGGTAATTTTTATTTTTTATTTAATGTGTAATTACCCTTTTTGTTTTGGATAATATAAAGTCTATATAATCTTCTTAAAGTGTTGGAACCTAAAAAAAGCTATAAGCATTTAATACGTAGAGATTCGTAATTTAGTAACTTATTGAGATGATTTTATAAGTAACCGATATTAATATATATGGGTTTCATTGACCATACCGAATATACCCATATTTACAAAACTCAATTTCTCTACCACTTTACGAACTTTGAAAAAATAAATTTAAGAATTAAGACTAAAGATTTGTATTATTTATTTCACAGGACTTTCTCTAGGTGTTCTGAATCTGGCAATTGTTGTCCCACAGGTAAAATAACCAATCGAAATCAGTTTTGTTTATTTAACTTGAAAACAAAAATTCTCATGGCTGATATATATTTTTGAATGATTAAAATGTATAGATGGTGGTATCTGTGGGAGGTGGACCATTTGACGAACTCTTCGGTGGTGGAAACATTCCAGCGTTTGTGTTAGGAGCGATTGCGGCGGCGGTGAGTGGTGTATTGGCGTTAACGGTGTTACCTTCGCCACCGCCGGATGCTCCTGTGTTCAAAACTGGGGCTGTGGGATTTCATTAAAAAAAGATTTAGTAATGTTTGATTCGCTCTTTTTCTCTCATAAAAACAGTAGTGTTATTGTGCAAATCCTACATAAAAGAAAAAAAAAAAGGAAATTAAAACTCCTTGGGTTGGTTTGTATTTTACCTAAACCCACTATGTTCCTTTTTCTGTAACTGAATTTTAGTTTGGAGTATATTTTACTTTTTGTTACCTTCAAGGCTTCAATATTACGACTTCAACAAATTTAAATTTTTCATCAAAGTTTCAAAAGAAAAATATTACGACTTCATTGTTTCGGTAGTACCTTACAAAGAATATAAAATGATCGAAGAATTTCATAATCATGGATTTGATTATTTATTTCACGGAAAAATGTACATTCTTAAGAATATTTCAGAAAAATCATTACATTCATTTTTAAATATGTTTGATCTAAAACAAGTTCAAGCTGAATGTGGATGAATATAAAATACGATGAAACAAGAACATTCTCGATTTATATGTTTTGTTTTTTGTTTATATAAATAATTGATTTAGATCTTTTGCTTTAATTTCCTTATATTTTTCTATAGATGATGCATATGTTTTCACATGTTCTTAACTTGGGTTACAAAATAACTTATCAACCTGACATACTTTGATAAGTTTTGTTTTTGTGAAGTACGATACAACTTTCCTAGATTAAACAAATTCCATTGGCTTCTAAATTTATATTTAAATATGATACACACCTTGCCTTGCCAAAAACATGATAAGTTTTGGGACATTTTCAAAATAACCTTTTTAGTTTGTTTTCTAGATATATATCATAATTTTTCAAGAACAAAGTTTGATTTTTATTTTTTTTCAAGAATTCATAAATTATTTTTAGGAAAAAATCCTAAATTTCCAATAGTTTTTGGAGTAAATGTATTATTGTTGTTAAAACAAAACATAAAATGTAATAATTTAAAAAATTATATAAACTGATATAGATATTATTTTAAATGTGTCATACATAAAATTTGACATCAACCAAGATACTTTATAGTGGGTACCTTAGTTCTAGCTTCTTTAGATAATACATCAGCTACAAAGTTTGTACTTCTCCTAACAAATATGAAGTTGAAAATTGTATCTAAAACAAGCTAAGTTGATATTTGGGTT